CCCCCCCCCCCCCACACACACACACTGCCTCTCTGGATTGGGAGGCTCCCTCGTGCTGGGAAGGACACAAACACAAGATGCACCACAGCTCCTGCCTGGAGGCAGGTGTTGTAAACAGGGCTCACCATTATGACTGAGGCATGTCTCTGGATTGGGAGGCTCCCTCGTGCTGGGAAGGACACAAACACAAGATGCACCACAGCTCCTGCCTGGAGGCAGGTGTTGTAAACAGGGCTCACCATTATGACTGAGGCATGTTTTATAGGGATTAAACACATTCAGCAGGCTGGAGATGCTGAATACAGCAAATAAGCCAGAGGGAAGATAATATTTTACTGTAAAACAGAGCAGTCCTTAGAGACTAACAAAAATAGATACTTAGGATCATGAGCTTTCATGAGCAAAACTCACTTCATCAGATGAGCTGGAGTGGAAATAACAGAACCAAGATATTTATAACAAGGTTACAAGGTTCTGTTATTTCCCCTTCAACTCCTCTGATGAAATGGGTTTTCCCCAAGAAAGCTCACGTTTCTATATATTGTTGTTAGTCTCTAGGGCTACATCTACACTGCAGCCTTTTGTCAGCAGAGACAACGCACATGTATATAATCTGCCGATGCTTTTTGCAGAAGAGGTTTTTGAGCAAAAACAAGCAGTGTAGAGGGGGTCGTTTTGCACAAAACCCCCCTTTTGCACAAGATCCTGGATACCTCCTTTTTTGAGGCATAAGGGATCTTGCACAAAAGGGGTTTTTTTTGCGCAAAACGGCCCTGTCTACACTGCTTGTTTTTGCGCAAAACCTCTTCCGCAAAAAGCATCGGCAGAGAATATGCAAATGACAGAGACATTTGCATTGTCTCTGCCGACAAAAGGCTGCAATGTAGACGTAGCCTAGGGGTACGTCCTCACAGCAGCGTTATTGCACGTTTACACTGCAAGTCCATTATTTTGAAATAAAGATCTTCTTATGCCGACTTCAGTAAACCTCATTGTATGAGGAGCAAGAGAAGGTAGAGGAAGAGTGCTCTCTTTCGAAATAACTGCTGTGTAGATGTGCCCAAATTCAAAATAAGCAATTTGCGTCGCTCAAGTTGTGTAGCTTATTTTGAGTTTAGCCCCGCTGTATAGACGTACCCTAAGATGCCACAGGACTACACTTCTGAGACTGTAGAACGCAGCTCTTTGCAGGCAAAACCTCAGAACGTCATGCCTGTCCCAGAGGGACAGTGCCCCTTTAATAACGGACGGGGCACTGAAAGCAGAGGCTGTGATTTTCAGACATGGGGCCAAGCTCCTCAATCAACATTTATGCTCAGGCAGGACCTGGCTCAATAGTCAGAAGCTTCAGTTGTCTTCAACAGAGCTTGGCCATTCTGGAAGCCAGGCCAGTATTGAACTTAAAGACCTGGATGCCAAGCGTCGAGGTTTGAAAAGTTTGCCCTAAATTACTAAAACCCCACGAATGCAGGACAATGCACGACCCAGCCCAGCTCAGCTCCTTAGTTTTCATGCTGCAACATTGCTCCTCTGTGCCTTGCATTTTGCCTGTGTGGAGTCCTGTAGGACAAGGACTTGGCTGCTTTGCATGGCAAGAAAGTGCCCCACGCAGGGTGGCTGCTAGATAAAGTAATGACCCCAAAATAGTTCCCAGGAGACCTGGCCAATGCCAAGATTCTGGTGCAGCCAGCAAGCAATAACTGACATGGACCCATGCCATGAAAAACGTCCTCTCAGACTGTCAGCACTGGTACCAGGCCTGTGTTTGTGCAGCACCCAGCAAAAGAGGCTTTGGCTGCTAGGCACCATGTGATTAGGACTAAGAGCATGACGGGTTTGCAATGTTATAGTCTCTTCTCCCTCCTTTGCTGTGTCTTGGCTGCTTTTTAAGCCAAATCTCATGAGCAGAGGAGATGCCCCAGGCAGGCGGCAGCTCTGTCGAGCTTGGCTGCTTTCTGTGTTCCACAGACAGGCCACACAGATGCCCTGTCATCAGCTGGGCGTGCAAGCTGCACTATGCGAGAGGGTCCCCAGAAGTTCCCTTAATGTGCTATCATGGGACCTCTGCTCAGCTCCCCTCAAGGGCCCCAGCTGCCTCGGGGCACGTCCACACAGCAGGGCTAAAGCCGAGTTAAACTACGCAACTTGAGCGACGTCAATTGTGTAGCTGAAGTCGAAATAGCTTATTTTGGCTCTTGGCGCAGTCTACACAGCAGGAAGAGCGAGTTAGAGTCCTCCGCCTTCCCCTACTCCTCATACAATGAGGGTTACAGAAGTCGGAGGAAGAAGTCCTCTAGCTTGACATTATTTTGACATTATGTTGAAATAACTGTTTGGCTACGTCTAGACTAGCATGATTTTCCGGAAATGCTTTTAACGGAAAAGTTTTCCGTTAAAAGCATTTTCAGAACAGTGTCTAGATTGGCACGGACGCTTTTCCGCAAAAGCACTTTTTGCGGAAAAGCGTTCATGCCAATCTAGACGCGCTTTTCCACAAAAATCCCCGATCACCATTTTCGCGATCGGGGCTTTTATGCGGAAAACAAATCTGAGCTGTCTACACTGGCCCTTTTGTGCAAAAGTTTTGCGCAAAAGGACTTTTGCCCGAACGGGAGCAGCACAGTATTT